AAGTGCTGTCCGGCCACTCAGGAACTGAGGATGTCAGTAAACACATTATTTACCAGCAACAGAAAAGCTCCAAGTGACTGCACTAGGCTTTGGATTAGGCAAAAGGCTCAGGAAAGTGATAGCATGCTATGACTTTCTAAAACAGATTTTGGAGAAACTATTAGAAAGTACTTATAAAATTCCTTAGCTGTATTTTTAAGGTGTTCCAACATGTTAAATCTTTCTTACTTTTTCAACAATATTTTGTTTTCATACAATACTTCATTTCATGAAGATAAAATTCCTATGCTCCTCTTTTCTCTCCATGTCTGCTTTCCCATGGCAATAAAGATCAATTAAAATAGGTAATTCTAATTCCACTAGACATACGATCCCCCAGCACGCACACTGCCTTGTTTTAATTCATATCGAGTATTCCTCATGTGATTAAAAAAGCAAAATCCACAATCTGTCATATCTGCAAGAGGCTTCCTTTGTAATGGTATTCATTATTGCTCAAGTCAGCAGATAATACATGTTTTGTTCTTTTGACAACTATTCATTTCATTGAGTGCATATGTGTAGGCCTGTGTAGACAGAAGATTTAAGCAAGCAATGTTTAAACCACAACTCATTTCAAAAAGCTTGACTGATGTGGCAGTATGCCATGTGACTGTTACACAAATTATAGCTTGTAGCCACTAACAAAAAAAGTTAGTATACTAAGTTTGAATTTTCTTCAAGGCATACCAGATCAAAAAGTTTCCTACTTTTGAGAGATTTGTTGTAGGTAGGACAAATGAGTATTTAAAAAAAAAAAAAAAAAAAAAACAATAAAAATTTGCACCTAATGTATCACTTCTGAAAGACAGAGATCTTACTGCTCTCTCTGGAAAACTCACTTCACCTGATGTCCCCCACGGCTCCCAGGGAAGAAGGTAGCAAGACCTTAAGTGATTTTCTTTGGGGCAGGATCTGATGGCTTTTGGAGTGCAAATAGTAAAGATCACCACTACATTCACAGGCCCGAGCAAGTTTACCTATGTGAGGCTCTCAGAAGCCAGCTTTATAGCTAGGTTTCCCAAAATCAGCTAAATTAGTACCGAAAATAACACTGCAATACTGTTTTCAGCTTCCAGTCTCTGAACATAAACAAGCAAAAGGTCACGCACAAGATTCAAAAAGGAGTCAGGCATCCCAGAGTTGAGTTTGGCCAAAAGAAACAGAACAGGGAAAGCTGTATTCCCCTGATAATTGTATCATCCTTTCCCACTAAGAGTTTGACTTTTCAGGGCAGCCAACCCATACCTGTCTCTTACAGAAGAGATGAAGTGTTTGTGGTTGCTCACCTAGCTCGCAGACTCTGACAGTGGCTGAACTTAAGGTTACAGCTCTGACCTTTCCATGCACTTTGTGGAAGGTATGCACCTCTGTGCTGACTCCTGAAATGTCTGCACATCACTACCCCAGTGGGTTTTATGTCTTCTGCCAAGCCACCTGTTTGCCAAAGGAGGGGAACCAGCAGTGCATTCGAGGCTTCTGAATAAGCCCGCTTCTGCTTTCACCTGGACAAGGTCATTCATGGCATTACACAGTCATTTATTTGTTGTTTCTTATGAGCTTCATCAACAACTGAAGCCTTTCACACTGACTCTCCAGTGACTTCACTTACATTTACCTACTACCACTCTGTTATGGAAACCTTAATTCTTCTAAATTCTTAAAATAATGACTTTTATGCATGCACGTAGGACAAAGATTCTTGAGAGAAGTGCCCATTTTGTTTACTTGTCTCTCCTATGGTGTCACTTTTATCCTTCTCCCCTTGAATTACGTGTAATTTTTGGCTCATGTGCCATGCCCTTTCCTTACCTTCTGTCACTTCCTCTTAAATGAATGCACCCTCCTGACATATTGTGACATTGCCTTGGCACACATTCTTTAAGGGTAGATGACACCAGCTCTGCAGCTACAAGTGAGATGAAGAAAAGACAAAGTACTCTAAGAGTGGTGTAATTTGCATGCTTGCAGCATGATCATTAATGGATGGTTGGCACTGCAGAGAACAGGAGGAGCCAGTCATGGACACCATGGGAAAGAATGATCTTCAGAATTACAAATGACACAGACGAAGGGAAAGAATGCTGTTTAGTTGATGATGATTATCAAAAAATCTACCTTCTCTGCAGGTTTCATTCAGACTTGTTCACCGGGCTCATCGTCACAGCAGCTTCTTTCTTAGAGACAGGACAAGGAAAGTAGGCAATCTCAAATGGCTTTTCAAACTCACTATTAGAGCTCAGATTGACTGTCAAGCTACCATAGTTTAAGGAATGACCATTTCTCTTCTCATGCGTGGTAACTATTATGTACTACAGTACTCCCAACGTATCATACTCAATATAAGGCTATTAACCTTCTTTCACTGCAAAGCTAGGTTGAATTAATTTCATTTGCTGAAGGCTGAGAGCGTATGCCCAGCAGCTATGCAACCAGATCACTGGCAATCTGAGCCTAGAATAATTTTAGGTTCAGAATCCACCTATATCACTCGGGGATAAATGTAATCATCTATTACTGTCATTAAGTAATTCTCCAGCATGATTTTTTTTAAGTACCTCTATCAAACAACAGGTGATAGATTGAGAAATCCCAATATTCTTTTAAAGCTAAAATGTTTTGGAGAATTTTAAGTTCCACAGTTCAGATCCAGATAAAATTCTGGAGATACCAGTTTCCTGAAAGTTCAGATTTGGTGCCTGAGTTTAAACTTAACAGTGCTGTCAGATTTATTTTGGAAACCAACCGAGCAGCTAGAGCCATCTCCGAGCTGACCGTGGGGCTATCATCTCTCTCCTTGCAGCATTCCCAGGAACACATTTGGCTCCCACCAAAAGCTGGTGCAGAACTAAGGTCTACGTGAAGTTTTCCACAATGGATAAAGCAGCTCAGCAGCTGAACCAGAGCCAAGCCTCTTCCTGCTTCTGCTGTGCCTTAGCCAAAATTCTCTCACCCTTGACACTTCCCAAGCCCAGAAACTGTTAATATGTGTCTGTGATAGGAAATTCAGCTAATTCTGCAGAGAGCTCTGCTGTGCATTTTAGTAGCTTATCCACTATATTTAGGGAAGGATATTTTTTCCACACCACAGCGGATTTCAAAACAAGATTTAAAATCAACCCAATTATATCATAAACCTGCACTGCGTAAGTCATACAAAAACAAGGAATGAGTCTAATTAAAGCCTTTTCTTGCACTTTTTTCCCTGCTATGTCAGGCTCAATCATTAATGCCTTAATAACCAGTCATTTCCTTCCAGCTGGCATTAAAGAAGTGATTGTGCTTCTAGAAGAAGAGACTAAAACATAACACAGAGCTCCACAATCTATTCAGAGAAAGATTTCAAAGGAGGAAAAGCACAGGTGAATTATACCATTTCAAAAAATGATGCCATGGGGCTTGTACTCCTCAAATACAGTGAGAATATACCCTTTGAAACAAACAAATAAGGTTCATTTGAGCTCCTATTTTATATTCCTTTCTTCATTTTGTGTATGTTAATTGCATTATTATTCGTTATTAGTCAGAACTGCTGAATTACACAATAAATGATCCATTATATGTATAAATAAAAATCTTCACTTGATTGCATAGTTAAGACTCCTATCTGAGAAAACTCTGAATTGCATTATCATTTCCACTCATTATTTCACTGGAATGCCTTCTTTGTATTGTGTGGCACTTCTAAGGACTATTTCTTTTCTAGCAGAGATTATTATTGTGAAACATATTTGAAAGCACCTGTACTACCTCTGAAACTACAGAATCAGAATGACTATACAACTATATGTAATGACTATATATAGTGACTATAATCAGAATGTCTTATGAGCACAAAGGTTTACCAGACTCAGCAAACTGACAGGTTTCTGAGTCAGCCTGTGAGAATGTTTGGATGTGGTTATTTCTTTTTATATAAAGCTTTAAAAAAATCAGTGTTTATAAAAGTTTTATTTTAAATAAATCAGTATTTAAGAATACATTAAGACTCAAACCTATTTAAAAATTTCCTTTACTATGATTAGTGAAATTGATAGATCATAAAATGTAAAAGAATATATATTTTATTTGGATTTTACTAGAACTCTAAACCTTAGATTTCCATGATGCATTCAGATTAACCCAAGTCTACAATTTATTCAGTATATGTTTTACTCTCGAGTGTTTCAGTAAGAGCAATTGCTTGCTGCTACTCAAGTCCCCAGTCAACTGCAGACGACTTTAAAATACAACTCTTGAGGGCACTAGGGCCAGGGCACACTCACTATTCATGTTTGCAACTGTCGCACTGCTTCCACCATCGTTCCTTCACTTGCAAGCCTGGGCTGCTAAAACCTCTCAGAAATGCAGTCCACAATAGCATAAAATAATGGCTGGTTTAAATACTATTTTACCCACATCCAATCTGACTACAATTAAATAACTTTAGAATTGTCTGCAGAATTTTTATAGCAGGCCTTTCCCGGAGCATTTTTACTGTTATGTGGCTCCCTAGCCATTAAACTACTATCTGCCAACTAGGGGGTGGGGGGTATTTATGAACCAAGGCAATAGTGCAGCAGTAAAAAAAAAAAGAAGAAAAACTCACACAGCACACTCAATCTTACCCCCATATAGCGATGGGCAAGTTCTGTTTACTTGTATGACCTTTCCACAACACAATCAATCATGGTTGCAACTAGAAAGTGTTTTGTACATTGCTCTTGCTTGCAATTCTTTTAAATCCAATTAAACATTCCTCCTTAATACTGTCATTTAATGAAATACAAGGAAGATCTTTCCTACCCAGATCCAAGACAGAATGGCAGTTCTAGCAGTTTATCCAAATCTGTATTTAACAGAGGAACTCCCTCCTTGTTCCCAAAGCTTGAGATATTAGAAACATTAGCGTTCTTCAGGATATTTTCACTGAAAATCTGGTGACTGTGGGGCTGGAGACTCAAAGTGAGCAGCCTCTGTGCCACTGAAAATATCGCATATACCAGAGGATGCTTTGCTTAAAGTTCTACTTTTAAATTCACATTCAGCAAAAAAGACAGCAGTGGCTTTGGCATGGAAGGAGATGTCATGGCTACAGATGGTAGTAGTCAAGAAGTAAAACTCTACAGATGTTGAAACCAAGCTTTCTTAGGTTCTCTGCACCAAAGCATGCTGACAACTAGTCGTAAGTTAGATGTATCAAACAAAATCCCAAATCATCAGACCAGTGCTATGAATGTGGATCAGGAAAGAGACTCAGTTTCAAGACCTGTGCCACCTAATTTGAGACCAAAAATAGGTCTGTAAAACCCAAATAATTGCTGTGACAATTCCTGCGCTGCCTGAGCAGGGAGGTCCCTTTCACTTTGATGC